CAGAGCATGCAGGCAGGGCATGTGCAGAGCCGTCTCGAGCCTGCTGGCCTGCGAGGAGGCTTTGAGGCCTGGCCCTGAGGTAAACTGAGTCTGAGACCCTTGTGTTAGACAGTGTCCCTGCTGGGCCCAGGGTGCACCCCGCTAGCCAGGCTGCTCGGCCCTCCCCCTCCCCACAGCCACCTCGTGGAGCGCTCTGCAGTGAGAGCATGCAGGCAGGGCATGTGCAGAGCCGTCTCGAGCCTGCTGGCCTGCGAGGAGGCTTTGAGGCCTGGCCCTGAGGTAAACTGAGTCTGAGACCCTTGTGTTAGACAGTGTCCCTGCTGGGCCCAGGGTGCACCCCGCTAGCCAGGCTGCTCGGCCCTCCCCCTCCCCACAGCCACCTCGTGGAGCGCTCTGCAGTGAACGGGGACTAGGGATGTGAACGGGTAACGGTACCCGGGAGCAGCCCCCCTCCACAGCCCACTGCAGGAAGAGGGCTGCTCTAGCCCCACCGGGCTCGCACGTGGGGTTGGCAGAAGCAGCGGCCCCCGCAGGCCCCCGTTAGTGGGCTCGCTGCTGGAAGGCAGAGTTTTAATTCGACAACCAATTAAACGGCGTTTGCGGCCTCGCGGGGTGGCCGAGAGGCGCCCTCTGGTGGCTGCCGCCTGCAGAGGGGACTTACTGGAGGAGCTGTGCGGGGAGGGGTCTAGTCCCAGGACCCTGTGTTGACGGGTTACCTGAGAACCACCATGCAAGAGATGGGGGGGCCGGCCCTGCCAGGGTGGAGCTGGGTGGAGGCAGGGAAGGAACCTCTCTCCTGTGCACGTGGCGAATCCTCGAGGGCCCCCCGGTGCTGCACCCCCCCCCCCAAGCCGGTACCAGCCGCGGGGCCGGCGCTGAGCAGCTCTGTGCCGCTGCAGGTGCACCCTCCACCCCAACGACTCGCTGGCCATGGAGGGGCCCCTCTCCCGCGTGAAGTCTCTGAAGAAGTCTCTGCGCCAGTCCTTCCGCAGGATCCGCAAGAGCCGAGTCTCCGGCAAGAAGAGGGTCGGAGCCAACAGCCCCTCCAGCAAGGTAACTGTGGGGCGGGGCATTGGGGGGCGCCGGCCCATCCTGAGCCTGCCCCTGTAGTGGGGGTGTCTCCAGGACTCCACTGCGGGGGCGGGGTGTTGGCTCTTGAACAAGGATGTCCTTTGTCCCAAGTGTGTGTGAAGCATTGGAGTGAGATGGGAGCAGAGCAGGGGGATTGTCAGACTTCTGAAAACTTCACCTGCCCCTTCCCCATCCCTTGCAGCTGCTCCCGCGCCGCCTCCGCTTGGCAGAGTCCTCCTGGGCAGATGGGGCCTGGGTTTCTAAAGGAGAAACCAAGCTGAAACAGCAATGCTGCTTCTTTCTGTGACATACACCTTCCAGGCCAAGCAGAACTGGGGCTAAGTGACCCACCCAAGGTCCCACGGGAAGTCAGTGGCAGCAGAGGAGAATGGAACTTCTAATGTCCCAGACTAGTGCCCTGATTAGCCCCTTTCTCCCTATCAATCTCCCCACCCTCCCAGCTCCTGGAGAGTCCCCTGCTCCCCCTTGGGAGCCCCAAGAGGGGCTGTCCTGTGGGGCTGCTCCCTAGCTGTCTGCGGGGAGAAGCTGACCCCTGGTGAACTGGTGCCTCCTCCCCCAGCTGCAGGAAGCGAATGCCCAGCTGGCCGAGCAGGCGTGCCCCCCCGATGTGGAGATGGCCCCTGTGCAGAGGCGGATTGAGCCCCGGTCGGCCGACGACTCGCTCTCGGGGGTGGTACGCTGCCTGTACTTCGCCGACACCTTCCTCCGAGACGGTAAGGCCTGGCTGCAGCTCTGAGCGGGAATGCAGCCAGGGTGGGGATCCTGTGGGCACTGGGCTGGACCTACAGCTCCCCTGGCTGGACCCCTTGTCTGTGCCAGCCCTGAGTACACGGTGCCCAAGAGGCAGGTGTGCAGTGCCCCCACGGGTACAGCCCTGCACTGAGAAGCGGAGGCAGGTTCTTCCGGACCTGGTCTGCCCCGAGGCATGGGGGATAACAGGGCTTCTAGCTGTGCTGTGTAGTAGCTCTGCGGGGAGAGGCTCCGCTTTAAACCCCGCCTCCTTCAGTGACATCATGAGGCAGAGAGTTCCCCTGGTTAGCGCCGCCCATGTACTTCTTCCTTTGGTCTGTGGACTAGCCAGTGCCAGACCCATGCTCAGGAAGTGCGGATTGACCCAGGGTGGGCGGCTGTGCGAACACTCGTGCCCGGTGTCCCCCGTTCACAGGGCCCCCAACCCAAGTGGCCTTGCACAGACCCGGGTGGCGCTGGGACCCCACGTTCCGGATTGCTGGGCCCAGCCCTGGGCGGTAGAAAATGCTGCTGTGAGGTGAGGTGCTGCCCGCTGGGCCCTGGGGCCGCCCTCAGGAGTCTGGCTTTTGGAAAGGCTGAAGGGGGGGGGGAGGAGGCAG